GCTTCTGCCGCTGCTTAGCTGGCTCGCTGCCTCCCGCTGGCACCAGCAGCCGCAGAGCAGATACTATGCCCAGCACTGCATGCTCCGCGCCAATGGCGCGCCCACAAAAGGACACTGTCTGGTGCCATGACCATTGCTCTGCTATTGATGACGAAAAACCCCGGATCCTCACGACTTCCTGCTTCTCTGGCCGCACTACCGCTCCGGTCCTGGGGTCCAGGAACCCCTCTGTTGGCCCCATCGGCTGCCGCGTCACGTCCGTGTCGACGTAAGCGCGCATTGTCGGTGCTGGATGGCTGGCAGAGAACACCCTCCTGCCCAGCCCGCCTACGCCAATGGTCCCAAGACACAACATAGATCGCTTGTCGGCCATGTCAGCATTTTGGCTAATATGCTGACATTGAACCCGAATGATATGTATCATTCCATATCTTTTTACCATTCTATTAGGCGAGAGCGCTGGAGCGTCTGTTGTCGAAATCAGCAAAGACTTCACAGGCGATTCTGTGGCTCGGGCTGCCCGAGAGCGGCTTATTTACTTTGGGTTCACCGCCTTGGTTTGCATCATCCCTGTGTGGTACCCCCTTGGTTTGCATTGCTTTATTCACTTTCCCGGTATCCGCAGCCGATACTTTCCTGGCTAATCGAAGATTACCAGTACAAAACCCACGCCATGTGAAAACTGGGCCTCGCGCGGCGGCCGGAGCCGACTGAGCGTATTCCGCCTCCGATGTTTGCCCTCGTAAGGGGCGTGCCCGTCGATCTCGCGTCGAATAAGTGCATACATCAGGTCTGTGCCGGCAGCTTAATACCGGCGACCCGAAGGAAGCTCGTTCAACTTGCAGCGATTTTGATCACCCTGGGTTACCAGCTTGTCCTGTTGACGACGATCGTTTTGCCCGCGAGTGTGATTACTATATCGGGCGGCTTCACCAGCGATGATATCCGGTCAAGTGGTCGACCGCTTGGAATTTCACAGAATACGGTTTTTTATGCGGCGCTTATTGGAATCTAATTGTTAAACATCTATTTGTCACAGATCTATGCGGAAGCAATAATTCGTCTCCGGCAGAGATTACCGATATTGGTGAACGCAAGCCTTCAGCGTTGACCTGTAGAATCTATGACAAGGTGCTGCGCGTAGGTGCTCCCATTGCAACTGCCGCTCCTCTGGATCAAACCGAAGACAAGGTACCTGGCACTGTTTGGGAATCTTCAGATCCCAA